AGCGCCTATGATAAGGTCTGGATTGCCCCGGTCTGTGCATAGAATTTGTTCAGAGAAGGGCTACTAAACTGGTTCATGGATTGCGGGATAAAACTTACCAGGAAAGGTTAAAGGATCTTAACATGTATAGCTTGGAGGAAAGACGAGACAGGGGGGATATGATAGAAACATTTAAATATATAAAGGGAATCAACACAGTAAAGGTGGAGACTATATTTAAAAGAAGAAAAACTACCACAACAAGAGGACATAGTCTTAAATTAGAGGGACAAAGGTTTAAAAATAATATCAGGAAGTATTACTTTACTGAGAGGGTAGTGGATGCATGGAATAGCCTTCCAGCTGAAGTGGTAGAGGTTAACACAGTAAAGGAGTTTAAGCATGCGTGGGATAGGCATAAGGCTATCCTAACTATAAGATAAGGCTAGGGACTAATGAAAGTATTTAGAAAATTGGGCAGACTAGATGGGCCGAATGGTTCTTATCTGCCGTCACATTCTATGTTTCTATGTTTCTATGTTTCTATGTAATGTCCCCTAGGGGGTGCATCGTATTTGGAGGGGGTGTTTTGCACCCTGTAAGTCCCGTGCTTCGGGGGTTGGGTTCTAGGGGAGAGGAAATGTATCTCCAGGTGATGTATGAAACCCCTAACCAAGGGGGCAGCGGAATGGGATGGGAGAGTTTGCAGCCCTGTTACCATAGTTGGATACAGTTCAGGGGATTACGCAGTGTAGCCATTTTTCGTGTTAGTGGTCTGCCTCATGGCCATCTTCCAGCCATTTTGTATCTAGTGAATATATGTGATAAGATTAGCAAATACATAACAAATCTTAAAACAAGAAATTATAACACAACGTTCTATGGCACAACGTCTTTTCTGCGGGCGTCTCAGGTGGGCGGTCTGCTCTCGCCAGTACCTGCCTTCCACGTTTGTGCTGCAGGTGTTGTAAGGTGTCTAAGGTCTGTTCTGTCCCTGCTCGCAGTGTGAACGGGATTACGTTGGCAAGATCCCAAGACCCTTGGGGTGGTACTGATGTCTCCTGTCCTCCCAGTCCCAGCAAGGTGAGAAGAGCTTGCCCGTCAGACCCCAAGGTGATTGTATGTATAGTTCCATTTTGTGTGACCAGTAGTGTCTTAGGGGGTCCCCATCTGTACTCCACCCCCGCTGTTCTCAGTTGCGATGTGAGAGGACTTAGAGTTTTTCGCCAAAGGAGGGTGGCCTTCATGAGGTCCTGGAAAAAGGATAGAGAGGAGCCTTCTAAAGTCATTGGGGTCTTACCTTTCAGTGCCTGCATGATTTGGGATTTGTCTTTATGGGATATGCATCTAAGGATTACATCCCGCGACTGGTTAGGTGTTGGTTTAGGTGTTCCTGGTATGCGATATACTCCGTCGATTGACACTTTTCTGGCGACCGTGTTAGGTAGGATTGTTGTCATCAGTCGTCGAGTATAGTGTGGTAGTTCCTCCGCCGTTATGGTATTCGGGACCCCTCTAATCTTTATGTGGTTCCAGCGCTGCCTGTCTTCAAGTGCCGTGATTCTGAGTGACATTGTCTCGTGTTGCCATTGGAGTTAGGTGAGTAAATCCCTTGTGGTAGAGGAGTCTGTGTATATTTTGTCTATGTTCGCTTCAGCTGTGGAAACACGGTCAGTTACCGTGTATGTCCGTGGAGATGCGTTGCAGGTCTGCCTCCCAGAGCTTATGGATGTTGGCCAATAGTATTTTGAAGTCGTTCTTGGTGGTAGGAGCCGACCCGTCAGATAGCTCAAAGGTAGTGTCTAGATCGAGTCCTGGGCTGGGCCTTACACCAGATGGTCCTCCATCTGCTTCTCTGGCCGGGGCCGTAGTTTGCGGGCCTTCAGCGGGAGGTTGTCTGGTTGTGCGGTTGGTCTGGTAGCGTGTTCAGGTGTGTCCCCGCCGCTGATCCAGGCCGAGGCCGGTCGGTGTGTGGTAGGCACCTGTTTTGTGTCTCGGCTTAGATTGTTTGGGGGCATGAAAGAACGGCATCGACAGGTTTCTTGTGCTGTCAGGAGCTGTTGTAAGTGGGTTATGAAGCTGGATGGGTTTGTGATTTTGAGATATAATGCAATTTTGTTGAGGGCCATGAGGAGCTGGCGTCTGCTCAGGTTGATCATTGGCTCCGCCCCCCTCAGGATACATAATGGTGGTGTATGTATTATAATTGTTTTTATACACATTTACTTTTGATAGAATAAATATCATTTTTTAATATCTCAACTGGTGGACCATTCATCCTGCTACAAGAAGGGTAGAGTCGAAAAAAACGGAGAAAATCTGTCCCTAAATAATGAATCTAGAAAATACTTTATTGATATATATTAAACTACCCATAGCACAGTAATGTCGTATAATATTGACTGGCTGTCTCAAACGGACAGACAGAATAACCAACACACCAATGCTATTGGTGTGTATGTAAGGGAGGGATTAGGGGAGTGGGGAAAAAGTGCAATACACTGATAAACAATAAATAAAATTGTCACAGATAATAAAAAAAATTGGTAGCAATTACCAGAGTCTAAATGTACAACACAGCTAATTTGGAAATATTTGCAGGGTAAGAAGAAAGAAAAACAGAGTACACTCTTAAAGTGTGTATCAATCCTAGGGCAGTAAAAATCTATAGTATCAAATGAGATCTACCAGAAATATGCACGAAAAATATACTGCAATAGTAGCAATAGATAAGATCAAAAATGAGTGTCTAAAGTAAACAGACGCCCGGGATATAATTGATACAATATCACATAAAACTTTGCGTCTGCACAAATGTATCCACTCGCTGATTGCTTCCTAGTGAAAAGTGACTGAATTCAGTCAGGGGAGGGCAGTAAAGGACCTCCTATAGCAGTGGTCTGATAAAAAATAATGGTAGTAAATGAAATAAGAAAAGAATGGTACCTTCGTGGGTACCAGTTATAGTAAAGAAAGAGTGCACATAAGTAAGAGTTACTCAAACCAAAATTAGAATTATATACAAAAATACGAAAATGCAGAAAATAAGAATTAGCTGAATAGCAAAAACTCTGGTCTGATCGGTATGTTGCTTACCAGAATAGCCTGATCGGTGTGCTGTTTTGCACAAGATTAAATGCAAATGGCTGTGAAGCAGCCAAAATGCAGATATTAGTAATGAACTCAGGAAGAGTTAAACGAATAAACTCGGGTATGCGGTCTAAGCCGCAGACCCATCACCTGTTTTAAGGTTCTGTGGGGTATAGCATGCCAACCTCACACCACAACCAAAGAACTGGTACATTCAAAAATACAAACAGGTAGCGTAGTGTGAATGTGTCAATCTAATATCTAGAAATGTCGATCTAATATGCAGCCCGACGCGCGTTTCGCCTAATTCTAAGGCTCATCAAGGGAAAATAACTCCCTGCAAAGGTTAACATTAAATAACCCGCCCTACCACCTGATTGGTCCATTTTCGGTTGGTGGGTGTGTGCGCGAGTTCGGTGGCTCAATAGAGTCAAACCATGTTGTAACGGATCACCTGACACCCCGACTGGGTACCTCCGTTGAAGAATGCTCCTAGCGCTTCCTGAGGACTCCAAGCACTGCAGCAGACACCACAACCACCGAACTGGAGAAGCATACGAATGCTCTCAAGCATATGAATGCTGTAAGCAACTGAACAGGAAAAGCATACAATCAGCTTACACTCCTGGCAATCAGCATGCAATCCAATTCCCCCAATAACGAGACGACACTTCGTTTTGAGGTCAAGCAGAACTGACTGTACTGGCGCATACAGCCTATTTTATTCCCAATCCACAAACTTAGTACTGCTCGCAGGGTTTTAAAGAACAACCAATAACACATGTACATTACAGAAAGACACTCCCACACAAAATCCTCCCCTCTGCCTGTGATACAATTACCTTACACAATGGGTAATGTAATTATCACAAACAGAGAAATACAGTTTTTCCACATTATTCATAACTTTAAAAGTATGCATCACATTCACATAAAACTTACATTTTCAGAATCAGCATACTCCAAATAC